CAATACGAAACTACAGAAAGTTGCAAACACAGCCCAGTCCATCATGCAAGACAACCTTCCATCCATTGACTCCATCTGCGCTTCTTGCTGCCTTGGAAAGGCAGCCAACATCATCAAAGATCCCTCCACCCCGGTTATAATCTCTTCCAACTTCATCAGGCACAAGATACAAAAGTTTAAAAGCACGTACCAACACGTTCAAAAACAGCTTCTTCCCTGCTATTATTAGACTTCTGAATGCACCTTTCAAGTTTCAAATCTAACGTCGATCTTGCTTTTTGTGTACATTCTTTGCAGCCATAACTTTGTATTCCTCGCTCTGTTCAATTACCCTGTGACCTGTGTATGTTATGATCTGCCTGTATTGCATGCAAAACATTTCACCGTACTTAGTCACATGTGACACTAATAATAAATCAAATCAAATCTTGTAAGCTTCCTCCTGACCCCCTCCAATGCCAGCACATCTTTCCTTAGATATGGCATCTAAAACTACTGGGTCCCTACCTGAAATGTCAACCTTCCTGCTCCTCTGATGCTGCATGGCCTGCTGTGTTCCTCCAGCTCCACACAATAATATTCCAAATGTGGTCTAACCAGAGCCTATACAGCCTCAGCAGCAATCCCTTCGCTAGTATTCCAGCCCTTTTGAAATGAATGTTAACATTGCATTTGCCTTCCTAACTGCCAACTGACCCTGCATGTTAACCTTAATAGAATTCTGAACTCGTACTCCCAAGTCCTTTGTGCTACAGGTTTCTGAAGCCTTTTCCCATTTAGAAAATAGTGTACGCCTCTGGTTTTCCTACCAAAGCGTCCTGCCTCACAGTCTCCCACATTATATTCCATCTGCCACTTCTTTGCCCACTGTCCTAGTTTATCTAAGTGCTTCTGCAGCCTCCCCACTTCCTCAACACTAACTGTCTCTCCATCTATCTCTGTGTCATCAGAAACTTAACAAAAATGCCCTCGGCTCCTTCGTCCAGATCATGAATGTATAACGTGAATACTTGCGGTCCCAAAACAGACCCCTGCAGAACTCCATAGTCACTGGCTGCTATCCTGAAAACAACCCCTTCATACCCAAATTCTGCCTTCTGCCAGTCAGCCAATCCTCTATCCATGCCAGTATCTTGCCCATAACACCATGAACTCCTATCTTATTCAGCAGCCTCCTGTGCGGCACATTGTTAAAGGCCTTCTGGAAATTCAAATACATCACATCCACTGGCTCTCCTTTGTCTCACTTGCTCATTACTTCCTCAAAGGATTCCAATAGATTTGTCAGGCATGACCTCACCTTGAAGAAGCCTTGCTGATTCAGCCCTATTTTACTACACATATCCAAATACTGTACAATCTCATTCTTAATAATGGACTCTAAAATCTTACCAACAACTGAGGTCAGGCTAACCAGCCTATAATTTTCTGTCTTCTGCCTTTCTTAAACAGGGGTGTTACAATAACCATTTTCCAGTCCTCCAGGAACCTCGCTGACTCCAGTGACAACTAAAAGGTCACTGCCAATGTCTATTACAATAATCATAAGGGACTTCAATATACAGGTGGACTAGAAAAATCAGGCTGGTTGCGGACCTCAATAAAAGGAATTTGTGGAATGTCTACGAGATTTCTTCTGGAGCAGCTTGAGGTACAACTCACTAGGGAACAGGCAATTCTGGATTTGGTCATGTATAATGAGGCAGATTTGATCAGGGAGCTTAAAGCGAAGGACTCCTTGGGGGCAGAGACCATAATATGATAGAATTCACTCTGCAGTTTGAGAGGGAGATGTTGGAATCATATGTAACTATATTACAATTGAGTAAAGGTAACTACAAAGACAGGAGGAGGAGCTGGCCAGAGTAGATTGGAAAGGGAGTTCAGCATGGAAGACAGAGAAGCAGCAATACCAGGAGTTTCTGTGGGTAATTGGGAGGCACAGCAGAAATTCATCCCAAGGAAGAAGAAACATACTAAGGGAAGGATGAGGCGACCATGGCTGACTAGGGAATTTGCTTGTGACTTAGACAGTGATCCAGAACCTTTTTGGTTTTGCTTTCCAAATAACTCCTAGATGCTTATGTTCCCTCAGCTGAACCTCTTTCCTTTTTCAACCTATGTTGTTGGTACCTACGTAAACCTTGATAACTAGATCTTTCCTCTCCCACTCCGAGTCCCAAAGTTCAAAACAGGGGAACCAATTACCATTCCTTATTTGGTCACAACACAATAAACTTGAGAGGTCTGTGATGCTCATGCCAGCAATTAGATGAAGAACCATGATGGGATGATGAATAAAACGCAAATGTTTCTTTTTTTAAAAGAGCTTTTGATGTACAATAAATAGTAAATGGGAAATTTATTGAATTGGCTGGTCTGATTTCCTTTATTCATTCACAGGTTGAAGGTGTTGCTGGCTAGGCAGCATTTATTGCCCATCCCTAATTGCCCAGAGGACAGTTCAGAGTCAACCACATTGCTGTGTGTCTGGAGTCACATGTAGGCCAGACCAGATAAGAATGACAGTTTCCTTCCCTAAAGGACATTAGTGAACCAGATGGGTTTTTCCAACAATCAACAATGGATTCACAGTCATCATTAGATTCTTAATTCCAGATTTTATTGAATTCAAATTCGACCATCTGCCGTGGCGGGATTTGAAGCTGGGTCCCCAGAACGTTATCTGGGTCTCTGAATTAACAGTCCAGCGATAATACCACGAGGCCATTGGCTCCCCAATTTATTACATAAATGTGTTAAATGTGATAAATTACACGGTTTTGACACTTGAGGGAACCAGTAAGATTTGAGGACCAAGCACAGCAGGAGATATAGAATCTCACAGAACGGAAACAGACCATTCAGTCCAACTCATCCGTGCAGACCATGTTTCCCAAATTAAACTAGTCCCACTTGTTTGCATTTGGCCCATATCCCTCTAAACCTTTCATAATCATGTACCTATCCAAATGTCTTTTAAATGTTGTAACTGTACCTGCATCTACCACTTCCTCTGACAGTTCATTCCACACATGAACCACCACATAAAAAAGTTTTCCCCTCAGGTCCCTTTTAAATCTTTCTACTCTCAACTTAAAAATATGCCCTCTAGTTTTGAACTCCCCCACCCTAGGGAAAAGACCTTTGCTTTTCACCTTATCTATGGCCCTCATGATTTTATAACCCTGTACATGGTCACCCCTCAATCTCCTATGCTCCAGTGAAAAACGTCCCAGTTATAACTGAAACTCTCCAGTTCTGGCAACATCCTGATAAATCTTTTCTGAATGCTCTCCAATTTAATAAGTTCCTTCCTATAGCAGGGCAATCAGAGCTGTACACAGTTCTCCAAAAATGGCCTCACCAATGTCCTGTACAACCTCAACCTAATGCCCCAACCAGCTTTGCTAGGGGTCCTTGATGCCATGCTCCGACGAATGCAGCCTTGATGTCAAGGGTGGTCAGTCTCACCTCACCTCACTTCTGGTATTCAGCTCTTTTGTCCATGTTTGAACAAAGTCTGTAAAGAGGTCAGGAGTTGAGTGGCCCTGGCGGAACCCAAACAGGGCATCACTGAGCAGTTCCTTTTCCTTTTCAGTCCGTACTTTCATAGAAACATTGAT